GGCTATCATTCGTTCTTCTTTGGAAGATGCCCTTTTTAGTGGCTTGTGGCAGCTGTCCTGGTGGAACGAAGCAAATGTGCAGCTTTCTTGGGGTTTTCAAGCACACAGAGGGAAGCCAAGCCCTGGGTGGGCTTTTCTCAGCCCTACAGCACTTACTGCTGCATCGATGGCCGCACTGAGCCCAGTTGGTAGCCGCAGCTCCAGGGTAGACTGATGGTCTGTGGCTCTTTCCACGGCTGCGAGGTTTGTTTCTCTGGGCTGTGCTTTGAGTGAACCTGGTTTGTGTTTTGACCCCTGTGCTTTCCCGCTCTTTGCAAGTCTTTTGTGCCCAGTGAGGGCTGCAGAGCACAGTGACTACATCGTCGTGAGGTCTCATTCCAGGCTCTACTGCCCTTCTTGAAGCTTCATAAGGTAACAGCACCTCTCAAACGGACATGAGGTTTTTCCAGCTGTTGCTCTTGGCAGTTTATGAAGACACTGGGCAAAGAGCAGTGACAGAACCTTCCGTGTTTGTCAAAATTGCTCATATCCCTTTACGGATATCCCGGGAACAGAGAGGTGATGGTACTGCCAGGAGTGTGTTCAGGCACGGGGCCTTTGGGTGCTTCGCTCCCTCCTGAAGCAATTCCACGCTTCCCAGGGGAGAGTGGCTGCATAGGCGGTCAGATGCATTTCTGTGTGCTAGAATATCTACAAACATTCAGTGATTTAAGGAGTTTTATGAGGGAATAGGTCTGCTCGTGTTGTGTGGCAGCAGTTCAGCGTACACATTCAAAGGAAGACTGTAGGCTTCAGAATTCAAAACATCCCTTTTTTTCTCTTATTTTTGGCGGTGGTCCTAATTTTTTATCTCCTGACCGTACGTACAGCTCCTGGGGTGGTTGGAAGATAGTCTGACTCAGAGAGCACCGCTCCAGTCAAAGCTTCAGAAATAACATGCTTGCTTTCCTGCTGGTGTGACATCAGGGAATTTACTGCCTGTTGATCAGAGGTGACTTTCTCTTTGACTTGCCTTTTGTTCACCTCTGCTGGCACTTGTTTATGGTCTGGTTTGGATCCCATGTGTTAGCTCTGGAGTGCTCAGAGCGCAACAGCATGCAGCAAAGTGCCCAGCTTGTGTTGTAACCTGTTGGTGATGCCTAGAAAAATCTCGAAGTCGGCTCTAGTAAAAAAATGCCTGAGGTGCAGTAGCACCAACACTCTCAGGATTCCTGGCTGGAATTCCTGATTGAACATCAGATGTGTGTTGAAATATCCTGTGCGCTGGTGAGGGTATCCTTCAGGCCGACAGGCAGCTACCTAGCAGGAAAACGAGGTACAGGAATGGTGCTAATCCCCCTTTTTTCAGGGTTACTGGAGCGCACCTTTCTCTAGCGATGTCCTTCCTTTCAAAGAACCACACATCCAGGAGGCACATCCTCTACCCATCAGCCAGGAAGTAGCTCTGAGCCGCCTTCGGCTGTGCAGGGGAAGTGAACTTGCCTTGCACTCCCCTGGAGAATGACCCATCCTTAAGGATTAGCAGCTCCTGTATGGGAGCTCGCTTTGCCCGGCTTCTGAGGATGTTTCTGAATGTAGAAAAGAGTTTGGGATTCTCTGAGCAGCAAGCAAGAGGCAGGAATAGCTCTTGCCCAGCGGAGAGCCGTCTCAGTTCTAGTTACTTATTTCCAGGACGGTTTTTCGGTATTTTAATAGAACTACTGTGACCCTTACGCATTAAATCACTGGTCCTAAAGGACAGTAGTATTTGTAGCCAGGTACATCGTGTAGCCATGATTTAAGGGAGGACAAGCAGGACAGGGTTTGCAGGGAGTCATGCTCCCTTTTAGCTGGATTTCCTGAAGAAAGACTTGCGTGCCTGAAAGCTTGGGTGGGTGTTTTTTTCCTGTACAAGTAAATTGGTAGATTTAATTATTGATCCTCCCTCTCCCTGCCTATGTACTTCGCTTAAAGTTAACAACTACTGCGGCATTTTCTACGCAGCCTAATGTGAGCTGTTGTACAAACACGTAAAGCATCCAGCCCCCCCCCCTTCACCACGACTCTGGCTTCAGTGGAGCAGCAGAGTGAGCTGATCCAGGGCAGGACTGCCATCCTGTCTTTTGGCATGTCAAGATGCAGGCCAGCTGCCTGCATGCGTTTTTCCAAGACTAAAGCTGTTTTGGGGACATCCAACAGCAGAATTATAGCAATTTAGCTTAACTTTTTTTTTTTATGATTTGAAAGCTCTATGTGGTGTGAGGAGTTTTCTTCCCTGTTTTGAGTCCTGACAGTCGGGCTTGATGGCTTCTGGGGCTGCCATGTTCTGATGGGACCCATGGCCAAGGGCAGTCTGTGACCAGGCTGACTTTAAAGAGGGAGTCCCCTCAGATTATCTCTGGAAAAACAGTGTGACACATCTGTTCTTGCCAGTCTGTTTCCTCTGTTTTGTGCGGATCTGCCCTTTAAGTAACAGTGAAGACCTGCCAGTCTTTCCCTGGACGTGCTGACCCCGGTAGATGAGCTATTATGGTTTTAAGGGCTGACTCACTCTTATCTTATCCTGCCCTGGTAAGAATTTGGCGCTGACAGGACCTCGGAGTAGTCAGTTCTTTGAAATGTTTTATGAATGGGCTTTCAGGGGTGGGGAAGATGGTATTTGTAAAGTCATCTAGGCTCTGCTGTGAAGCAGTGGGTTTAAAAAGGGGTATTTTTAAAAAAAAAAAAACAAACTTAAGATGTTCAGGCCTTCAGTAGGATACTTAAGCCCACAGATAACAAGTTTGCTTCTCTCCCTTGCCCTCAGGGACTACTTCTAGTGGACAGCAGCATCCCCAGGCACCACGTACCAGCGTGAAAACCTCTGCCCTCTAACCGCTCCTGTGGGTTTCTGTAGCTGGCAAGTCCAGCAGGACTCAAGCGTAGCCCTCCCTTCTTGACTTCAGTTGCAAAGCAGCTCTGGAAGTTGGCTTTACCCCTTACAGATCCGTGAGGATCTCGAGGTGGTGCTCTGGGCTTTGAGTTTGTAGGAGGTGAAACGTTCTCCCTGGATACGCTGGCCTTGCGTGGCTTCACGCATGCACGAAAGCGCTGGTACAGCATCGCTCACCTCGGTCCTATGTCTCCTTTCAAGAATGCAGAAGGAGCAGGAGAAAAGCTGTTGCACCTCTGGTTTGGGGGGAATTTTTGCTTTTATTTTTCTTCTTAAGGATGCTCTTGGAGTACCAGTGTTTGCATTATTCAGATACGTGGGCTCAACCTTGAAAGGCTAGTGCCAGATGTGGACATGCAGCAGGAGCAGGAAATGCAGCAGTTCTCCTCTTTGTGCTGTGCAGTAACGCTTTCCTTTCTCTTGCAGGTCTCAAACAGCTGCTGAAACAAGGATCGGTGCAGAAGGTGTACAACGGATTGCAAGGATATTGATGTGTGGAAAAACTGGACTTAAAATGAAAAGTCAGATTTATTTGCAGTCTTTTCTCCTGCCTGCTGTAGAACGGAAGAGAGGGAGGGTGGGGCAATTGTTGAGGTATATATAATTTTTTTTTTCTTTGTAAATTGTGGAAGTGCTCAGACGAGTTGGGGGAAATACTACACTTTTCAGGACATAACTGGTGCTGCCTATCATGTTCCACGTCCTGGAACAACAAAGAGACTCCTTGAGCAGGAAAAAAAAAGTGGGGAAAGGAGTTTTAAATTCCACACAGATTGGAATTTCTGGTTTTTAAATATATTTTGATGTGACTTTTCTTGACCATCTCAACATATTTTCATAGCTTCCTCTGCTTTTTATGTCCTTTGTGTTGGTCCCTTCTGAGTTTCTCTTGGTTGTTTGTTTGTTTTTTAATCCCGGCCTTTTTTTCCCTTTCCCCTCTGAGTCCGGAGTGTGGTATTGCTTCAGAGTCTCTGTTTCTGGGGCAGGAGTACAGGTGCTGTTGGGAGTGGACTGGCAGGAGAACCTTTTATGGGGTCAGGGGGGAAAAGGGTCTCTTCAAAGCTCCTGTGGACTCCCTTACCTACCAAGTAGTCCTCTTGTCCCAAAAGTTAATGCTTGGTTTTAACTTTGAAGTCGAAACAGCTTAGCAAAGACTCCTCAGAGTTTCACAGTGGGATTTTTGGAAGATAACAGAACGGTTCCTTGTGGCCTTGGTTCTTCCTCGTTGCCCCCAAATGTAACCGACAGCTCGTCTGGAAAAGTTCACTTACCTCCTGCGCTCTGTCCTCTGTGAGGACGGGTGAAGCTAACGGCACAGAAATAAAGACGATTGAGTTGGAATGGCAAAAACTACCTGGTTATGTATTTCAGCAGCCCTTACCCTGGGAGACCTGCAAGTCATTGGTCCCTTCAGCGATCCCTGCTGAAAAGGGTGAAACTAAACCCAGCAAAAGCTCCGTAGCTGCTTTATTTGACCTGAGGACCTGGTAACCTGGCAGGGGGCTTCCTGTGCCGCTCCAGTCGCTGTTGCGAAGGCTCTGCTGCTTTAAGCATCCCTGTTGGAGATGCTCATCTCCGCGTGTTCATCGGGAGCGGTAGCTTAACAATTCCTTGGAGGTGTCGGAGTCATTAAGCCTTGTGCTTTGCTGCGACAGGGGTGTAGGCAGCAAGAGAAATGAGTCAGTTGTTCGTGTAGGACGCTGTTCAGGGCTCTTAAGGATCCCACTTTGTAGCCCCTACAGCTGCTGCCTTCTCCCTCATCCCCTGCCTCCCTGACCTGGGGAGTGGATGGGATCTGTTTGGGGTTTGTTTTGGGTTTTTTCTCCTACACAAAAATCTTTGCTGGGGAGCAGCAGCAGGGAGACTCAAGGTAGGTTTTGGTTTGGGTTTTTTTGTTTGTTTTTCTTCACCGTGAGCTTTAAGTAGCTCAGATCAGAGCTGGGAGAGGTGGAGAGCAGCTCTGGCCCAGCCCTTGTGTGCTGCCCTTGGTCTGTCAGTGTCCAACCCAACCCTTAAATTCCAGTGGGAGCTGACGCAGCGGAAGCAGCAGCAGCACGAAGGTTTCCTGTTGGATCCTTTGTACGTTTGCATTGGCAGAGCGAAGCGGGGGCTTTGGGAACAGCTGAGGAGAGGGCGCAACAAACCTGGGATGCCAAACCCTCGGTCTCAATGCTTGTCTTCCTCAAAACCTGTAAGTGTAAGCCGTTGATCTCAGCTGAGGCTGCTGCCTCGAGCGTCTGCCCACCTGCTCTCTCCAGGTGTCTGTAGGCAGCTCTGCCCCCACT